AAAAAGGACCAGATGCAAAATTGGTGTTAACCTTTTTCTTCCCCCCTTCCCCCCCCCCCCCCGCCCGCCTTAAAAATGATATGGATATGATTCCTGGAGACTGTCATGAAGTAATAAATGAGACAAATGAGACAAAGTCAATGTACTAAGGATAGGTAAATTACATATAGTACATGTAGGTATCTGAAAAACTTTGCTAATATCTAACCATCTGGTTCCCAGATTTCTGTGTAAACAGACACCATTATTACTTAAATTACTTTTAATGAGGTTATAAACATACATCAATGGATATACAGTTAAATACCATTGAGTGTCTGGGGCTGTTCTTACCTTGAAATCTTATCCTGAATTTTATCTTCAAAATTATTAACTACTGAAACTGATGCCAAACACAATGCATGGGTTCTCAAAGATATCTCAAAAGGTAAGCTAACATTAGTTGGGAAGCTTAGCTAAATCAGATGCTCTAGGCCATGGGTCAATAAACCTCAGTCTTCAGGCCAAATACAACTAGCTGCTGTTATGCTGGTTTATTCAAATACAGCCATGATCATTCATTTATGTACTATCCATGATGGTATACAGGCTACAAAAGCAGGTTAGTAGATATAACTTGGGACCTTTATAGTTGTAAAACTTAATATATTTACTATCCGGTCCTTAGCGGGAGATTTGTTAATCCCTGCTATAGATAAATTTCCTTTATGCTATATATTAAATGACACATATTTCTAACGTCTTTTATTCTGATTCCAGTCACTAAGCAACCTTTTGATTATCTTTGGAAATTTTCCTACCAAAAAAAATGTACTTATGATGTATGGATATGTGGTCTGAATTATAGTTCCTACAGTACTACACTGCCTTTATAGTTTTCAATCTCTCCTATCTTTGAATCTGACCAGTCCGAATCTGAATCGAAACTGACACATTCTTTTGTCAATTGTGCTGGTCCTGGGGCTTGAACTCAGGGCCTGGATGCTGTCATCCCTGAGCTTTTGAGCTCAAGGCCACTGCTCTACCACTGTGAGCCACAGCTCCACTTCTAGCTTTTCAATTGGAGATGTCTCAAATTTTCTTGCCTGGCCAGCTTTGTATCACAATTCTCAGATCTCAGCTTTTGAAGTAGCTAGGATTATAGATCTGAGCCAGCCTGGCTGAAGTTAACTCATTCTTTTTGTTTTTTTGCTGGTTGTGGGGCCTGAACTCTGGGCCTGGGCGCTGTCCCTCAGCTCTTCAGTTCAAGGCTAGAGCTCTTCCACTTGAGCCACAGGGCGACTTCCAGCTTTTTCTGCTTATGTGGTGCTGAGGAATCGAATCCAGGGCCTCATGCATGCAAGGGCAAGCACTCTACCACTGAGCCACCTTCCCAGCCAGTTAATTCATTCTTAAAGGGAAAAAAGCAGGTTTATGAGTTTGTAAGCCTGAGCATTAGGGTCTGGAATTCATCAACAAGTGAAAATGAATCAGAGGATAACAGCTCAAACACCCAGCCAAGTAATTCTACCTAGAACTTCTACAAAATTAGATTTGTCCCTATACTTTTCAGTACAATTTTTAAGTGCAAGATTATATAATTAATTTTTACAAAATATTTTGAAATGTATACCATTTCACATTAAGAGACATGGGCATACCCTGAATGTCAATTTACTCTTTGAGGTAAAAGACTTATGATACATATATACTGAAACAGTAAAGCTGTGGCTAAACTGGTAGAATGCCAGCCTTGAGAAATAGTGCCTAGGATAGTGGCTAGGCTATAGATAGTGCCTAGGCCTTTAGTTCATGCCTTAGTATGGACACAGGCATACAAAGTAATCTTTATTGTAAGCAGTTACCGTTTTCTCCTTTTGAGCACATTCTATACTCACAGCAAGTAGTGTGATCAGAGAAATGTCTTAAAAGCTAGCCATTACTAGATGCAATCACATGATATCTCAGGGAAAGTTCAGCTTTCCTTTAGTAAAACTTTATCCAGGTAAAAGAAGTCACACTTCTTTTAATAAAATCTGGGGAAAAAAAGCCCAAAACTTGTTCTGTTACAAGATATAATGCAAAATATTTTTAATGAGAACAACAAAAAGGCTAGACATCTTCATAGCTACCAACTGTTACCTTCCTTTGAAGAATTCTCTCCAATCTGAGGACAAGAGAAAGGATGATTGTATTCTCTGATAGGCTTTAATCTCATCTTACCTGGTATCTACATTCCTAAAGAAGCTGCTTATGGCCTCATCATAAATGCCTTTCTAAAAAGAAGGAAAAATATTTATATCATGTAAATTTTATTTTCGAAAGTTTTCTTTTTTTTTCAGTTTTAACAATTCCACAAAACTGAAATAGCTAATGTGTCTATAATGAAAAGCAAGTTCCCAGAACATTGCTCGGAATGAGTCTTGAAATTTCTCTTCAGAAGAGAGTAAACACTGTAAGCCTTAAAGCTCAGAAGGGTGATGAAAATTTCCTCAAGGATTGTAAAACAAGTGTAATTAGTTTACTCTGGATTCTAGTGACCTTTTTTTAAAAATGACTATAAGGAACACAAGATTATACTCGCCAGGTACTTTATAAGAGTATTCTCACACACTCCTCCTTTATGGTTTTCACAAGAACACTACTGAGAACTACTGAGAATTAGTAAAATTGTTAAGACTCAGGTCTCTGGTCAATGTTCTTTCAGTCCAGTGTGTGTTTGGGCAACATACGTTAAAAATCAGTTACGTTTTTCTTTCCTTTCCTCTTTTGGTGTCAGTCCCGGAACTTAAACTCAGGGGCTGAAGGTTGTTCCGGGGCTTTTTTTTTGTTTTGGTCAAGACAAACGCTGTACCACTTGAGCCACAGTTCCATTTCGGGCTGTTTTGATAGTCAACTGGAGATCCGCGTCTCATGGACTTCTCTGCCCGAGCTGGCTTCGAACCATGATCCCAAGATCTCAGCCTCTCGAGGGCTAGAATCACGGGCGTGGATCACCGGTGCCCACTGGCTCTGACGTTTTCTACTGAGAAGATCCCACACAGTGTATAACGGCCAGACCAAGGCCCAGGTGGAGGCTCCAATGGGCGGCCTACCTGGTTGACCGAGGCGTGCTCCCTTAGCGCCAGGTCCCAGAAGCAGCAGCCGATCTGGTTTCCGCACTGGCCGACTGCGACCAGGGAAGAGAGAGCGAGAACCTGACATTAGATAGGAAACAGAGGGCAAAGGGGCGCCGCGATCGCGTCCCCGCGCCCCGGGGACGAAGCTCACCTTGGACCACTACCGACTGGGTCATCCCGCCAGACTGCCAATACCGGGCAGCACAAAGGGGGCGGCCGTAAGTCACGCTACTGCCGCAAGTCGCTGCTGTCGGCAAGCGCTTCGACAGGTCCGGGCTGCCGTGCTTACGTCGGGAGGACGCGCAAGCGCAGTTGCGTCTCGCCGTTACCATAGCGACTGGGCCCGGGAGGCACAAACCTGAGTTGCCTTGTGAACTCATCTTTGAGCAACGGCAGCTCTGGAGGCCGCGGTAACTGACGGGTAATTCGGCTTTGGAGCGATTATTATTATTATCTTTTTTGAGTTTGTGTCTTTGCAGCTGTTCCTGGATTATCAGAAGTTTTGTCCTGGTTCACGTCTCAACCCTCTGGGCGGTGGGTCAGGTTCCCTCTACTCCTGTCACCCCAGGCCCACCTCAGTGTCCCTATGAATCGAGGCCTTTGTTCTAAAGGCAACGCAGAACGTGTTGATCCTTTGTTCTGATGCAAAACCCAAAATGTCGATGAGCATAAAGAAACCCCAGACCAATAGACATACCAAGATGCCACCGAAAACTAGGTGCCTTCTGACAAAAATGGCAAAGCTAAGTTCAGAAACCCAATTGTTTGTTGAAGGCCATATACTCCCCCAAATTTATTTCTCTCCTCTGTCACATTCAAAAGAAATTAAGATTAGATCCAGCTCCAACAAACTAATCGAAAACAAGCTTAACGTATAAAGACTGTGGATTAAAATATTGTGTGGTGGTGACAATTAGTCCCATAGGATTCAGGGGTTACTAAACAAAAGTCTCATGAATAGAGGGATTTATAACATAAACGTTGCATACACAATGTTTAGAAGGGACAGTGGAAGAAAAGTTTGAAAAGTCAGGCATTCCTGAAAAACTCTAATGTCTTATAATTGTCAATTACATAAAAAGCCTTAATTATTTTTTTTTATGGAACAACTAAGACCAGATTTTAAGGCTCAAATACTTTTTTAATGAAATTACTATTTCCCACAAACCTTTGGAAAAATACTCTAAGAAACCTATGTTTAACAAAAGGTGTATACGCTTTTAATGTGTGATGATATGAACCGTAATAATTCAGACTATTAGAACACATTATTTCCCATCAGGACAAACAATATTCATCATTACTTTTTCTAGTAACTGGTAAGTTTGAAGTTGCAATGGGCTGTTTATGTTACTAAGGCTTCCCATAATATTCTCTCTCTCTCTCTCTCTCTCTGTCCTCTCTCTTGCTAGTCCTGGGGCTCGAACTTGGGGCCTAAGCATTGTCCTTAGCCTCTTTTGGCTCATGGCTACTGTTCTACCACTTGAGCCACACCACCACTTCTGGCTTTTTCTGAGAAGTTAATTGGAGATAAAAGTCTCATGGACTTTCCTGTTCCAGATGGCTTTGAACCTTCATCCTCAGATTTTAGCCTCCTGAGTAGCTAGGATTATAGGCATGAGCCATTAGCTCCTGGTGCTTCCCCATAATTCTGTCTGGATGTTTTTCACATTAGTGCTTGAGCTTGTTGAGAATTGCTAGGCAGTTTTAGTCAAGAAAATTTTAGTTGCTAGATTTACCTTTAACTGCGTATTGATAAACTTGGGAGTCTGAGCTGCAGTCAGACACTTCAGTTCTTGGGATGAGGTCCCAAAGTCTGGGACTTGGGAAATTCATAAAATGTGGACAATTGTAGGTGATGATATGTCTGTGTCAGTGAATTTTGGTGCCAGTTCATCTGGTATTCTTACCTTTCAAAGCTCTACCCTGTTATCCCAGTTATTAGATTGCAGAAATCATGCTTGGGAAAGAACTTAAGTCCTAAGCTGGATGTGGTAGCTCACATCTGTAATCTTAGTTACTTGTGTGGTAGAGATCAGGAGGATCATAGTTTGAGGCCAGTCCAGGCAAAAAGTAATTTCTAAAAGCACAAAGGAGTAGACTACAGAGATGAAAAAATCAAAGTAATAATCATAGAGATTGTTGAGACAAAAGATAAAAATATTAAAGTTATTAGAAGGTAATATAAAAGAAGTTATTAGAAGATAATATAAAGGTAGGAGATAAAGAAGGCTCAATGTAAAATTAATAAGTACACATGAAATAGAACAGCAAAGAGATAAAATGTACTTCTGTCACTTTCCAAATTGTCATTGAAATATAATTTGAATTTGTACATACTCTATCAATTTTTATTATTGCTTGCACAGTGCTTGTTATGAGTTATTATGTCACTTGACAGTAATTTACATTATGTTTTCCAACTTCCTCCAGTGTATTATTAAATTTATCGGCTTGGCAGATTTTCAGTTTTTTAAAAAGTTTTCCTCCCAATAGTTTGTCACTGAATTAATATGCATCATTATCCCTTTAGTTTTCAACAAGTTTTCTTATTAACTGTTGCTAAGATAATGACTTTTATTTTAGGTTTTTTTTACGGATGTCCCTGTCTGGACCTGAGTCTGTACAAATCAGGATAAACTTTGTAATACTGTGGTAACCACCAACTTCAAGATGTCAATACTGATTGGTGTATGCATGTGTGGAAAATACTTAAGACTAAGGAAAGACCAACTGGAGCAGGCAAAATATTCCTACGGTTCACACAGGGCTGGGTCTAATTCACCTTCTCAATATCTTGGGTGAAGATTTCTTGTAATCCATAGAGCATTGAGCTGAGTACTCAGAAAGGTATTGCTTAAGTAGAAGATATGTTAGCCCTTTATAAAGGCTACTACTGTTGGTCTAGACTAAGAAAGAGTAAAACCAAATTTCCAAAGAACAAATCTATTTGCAAAATAAAAATAAAATTAGTTAGCAATGTAAATCTCATAGCGCCTGAAATTCAAATAAACATTTCCAGTTATCCAAAGATGAACCCAATAATGAGAAAATTCAGTCAGCTAAAAATAGAACAAGTGAGCTGGACACTGGTGGCTCATGCCTGTAATCCTAGCTACCCAGGAGGCTGAGATCTGAGGATTATGGTTCAAAGCCAGCCCGGGCACGAAAGGCTGTGAGACTCTTATGTCCAATAAACCACGAGAAAACCGGAAGTGGCTCTGTGGCTCAAGTGGTAGAGTGCTTGCCTTGAACTGAAGAGCTGAGAGACAGCTCCCAGGCCCAGAGTTCAAGCCCCACAACTGACAAAAACAAAACAAAACAAAACAAAACCCACAAAAACGCACACACACACATACACAAATAACAAGAAATGGCACAAATGAAAGGTCAGTAAACAAGGCCCCCAAAAATCTCAACCCAAACATATATATCATATGTCCAAGAAAACAGATGGTAGCGTGGACAAATGAAGAAATGAAAAAACAAATTCAATCGGTCTTCTAGGGACAAAAAACACAATGATTAACGTGAAATGATGGAATTGAGAGAAGACTGTCTGGTCTGCCAAAATGGAGTAAAGAACTTAAATACAGTAATGGAAACTAAAATGAAGAACAAAAATTTTTTTAAAAAGTCATTGAGCTTGGGAAAAATGGAAGTACTTTAATAAGCATGTAATTTAAGTTACAGAGGGAAGAAAAATACTTAAAGAAATAATAGCTGAGAAATTTGCAAATGTGATAAACATGAGCTCACAGATCCAAAGAGTTCAATGACTCTTAGGCACAAGAAATAAGAAGGAAACTATCTCAGCTATATTATAATCAAGTTGCTTAGTATTACTGATAAAGAACTGACCTTAAAGTTAGTCACTAGATAAAATACTTCAAATAAAGGAAAATGGAAAGATATCAGACTTCTTATTGGAAACAATACCAGCCAATGGAGCAAAACATAAAAAGTACTAAAAAACCTAGAAAAATACTTAGGATCTCTTCACAGTGAAAATATTGTATTGTTCAAAAACAAAAAAATATAAAAGCTGAATGAATTAATCACTATTGGATTAGTTTTGTTTTAGGCAAAAGGCAAATGATGTTGGATGAAAATCTGGACCTATTCAAGGGGATCAAAGTACTGAAAATGATAAATATATAGGTAAATATAAAAGACTTCTCATTTCAACAATTATCCTGTAATTGTCCAATGACACTTCTAGTATAGGAAGAAGTAATATATGTGAAAATAAAGTCATGAATGGCAAGAGATAGGAAATGGAATATATTCCTGTCAGGTCCTTTTAGTATACTGAAGTGGTAATGTTATTTGAAGGCAGTTACCCTGAAGAAATAAAATGTAAAAGTCCAAGGAAGCACAGAAACCAGTTTATTTTAAAAGATTCATAAAATATATTCAGACCCAAAGGACAAAATAAGAAAAAAGAAGAAAGAATTTATGACATAAAGAAAATACAAATAGCAAGATGGAAGTTTTCTATCCAAACGTACCTTTCAATTCAGATAAAACATTATAATTTAAAAGACAAAAGTAATCAGATTCAATTACATACATTTATAGGAGACGCACTTTGGGTATAAAAAACAAATACAAACACATATACACAAAAAGTAAAATAATAGGAAAAATATGTTCACAACTGTAGCAATACAAAGTAGCTATAAAAGTTTTATATTTCAAAGGTAAGAATAATTCTCAATGATAAAAGATAATTCACAAAGATAATTCACAATAATAAGGGTGTCAATTCATGAAGATATCACTATATGAAATATGCATAAAATAACAGCTTTGAACCTACATTAAGCAAAAGTTATCAGAACAGAAAGGAAAAGTAAATAAATTCATATTCATAGTTGGAGATTTCAACATGGCTACTTCAATAATAAGCAAGTATGAAGAAAATAAAGGCATCTAACAACTTTGGTAACTACTTACACAGAACACTTCATTAATTAACATCATAAGTTGCAACTTTTCCAATACACATGGGACATTTACTAAAGTAGTTCATATCCTAAGCATAAAACAAGTCTCAATTTAAAAATTTCAAATTATACAAAGAATGCTCTCTGACTAAAATCTAACTAGGAATAAGTAAAAGAAAAATAAGAGTATTCCCAAGTGTTTGAAGATGAAACAAGATTGTGAATAGCTCATTGGTCAAAGAAACATGACAACATGTTGAGCATTTTATATGCCTTCTTTAAAAGGAAAAATTTTGGTTGAGAAATAGTAAAAGACAAGTTTTCAACATCTATGGAATGAAAGTAGTGCTTTGATAGAATTTTACTGAATTAAATGATTAGAAAAGAAGAAAATTGGTAGCTAAGTGTCCTGTTAAGAAGCTAGAAAAAGGAAAGCAATTCAAGCCCAAAGTAAGCAGATAAAAGGAAAGAGTAAAGATGGAGTGGAAAATTAATAGAGAGAAATTTGTAAAACCTAAATATATGTCTTGAGAAATCAAAGTTCTTTTCCAGGTTCCCTTGCTCATATGATAAAGTCTGCTTAACTTTGATTCATTTTCCTGCATAATTTGGACTGTACTTATCTCCTAGACCAGTTGTAGGGATGGTGACCTTCCAGATCTATTTTTTGTCCTGTCCATAGGCATTTAATCTTTGCATATATTATTCCATCTATTTGCATGTCTTTGGTTCTCCCTAAGTTTTACCTCATTGGTGCCTAATCATCCTTTAGATTTAGATTTGATAGCATAGTCTTAAAAATATCTTACCCTAAGGGGAAACAAAGGAGGAGGCTACAATGCTTGATAAGAAATGTACTCATTACCTTGCCCATGTAATTGTAACCCCTCTGTATAGTATTTTCACAATAAAAAATAAGCAGATCATATCAATTTGTTCTTAAAAGAACAATCTTCATGTAAAAAAATCTTACTCTAACCTTTAAACTCCACTATGGCAAAAATTGTTTTTGCTTAGTCTTTTATATATCACTTAGCACATGAATTCCCAGAAAATTAATATTTGTTGAAGTCTGTGAATATTTTCTTAGGATATGATTAGTTTATATATTATTTCTTTTCTGCACCTCATGAATTAATATGACAATTGAAAGATAATTATTTCAGGGCTTATGATAAGTTAAAGGAACATATTTAGAGATCTCAATAACCATCATTTAAACTTTTTTTTTACCATTGCTTTGTACAAATCTACTGTGGAGTCAAGTTCATTTTGTCTTCATATGTATTATTCATCCTATGAATTTTCATAATTAAGCCTATGTTTGGTTGCATTATACCACTCACTAAGAAATTTGGCATAATTGATTCAAAATGAACTAGTTCAAAGTAATCACATATTATTTTCCTTCAAGATATCTAACATTTTTTACTTTGTAGTTGTAATACCATTTTAGAAAAGCTTTTAATGATTTGTTTTCAAAATTTCATTGCTAATATGGTGTCAAAATTTATACTATATTCTAAGTTGACCCCACATCATTTTTGCACTGATGCTTCATGTCCAACCATTAAACATTTCTTAACCATCTTAAGGAACAACTGTTTATGTCCTAATCATGCATTAGCCAACAATGAGCAGCAGTGATTTGTCTTATTATGACACAGTAAGTGAAACCTGTATTTCTTTAAGCTAAAATTTTTATCAAGTTATCCACAGATAGCACCTGGTAAGAAAAAGAAGGTCTAGAGGTAAGATATTATGTAAAATAAATTTTTAGATAAAATAAATTTTTCATAACAAATGGTGAAACACAGCAGTGGGAACTTAGTGTAATATGTAGGTAGCGGTAAATAATTTAATCAAGGTAAAGCTGCTTACTGACATTTAGTACTTTAGTCATTAGCTTTGAAGATTGTAAAACTGGCTAGTTGAAAAAGCAATGTTCTGGCTTATGTGGTAAATCTAAAAATTCTTAAGTAGGGGAGGTACTGAATGATAGTATAAGGTATGTATATAGAAACCAAGAACTTGCTGGAAGAAGGACAGCAGATCAAAACCAGGCAAAAGTGAGATACTGACAGAGAAGAAATTCAAGGGTAAGAAATCAGAATAATGACTGTACAAAACATAGTCTCCCTTCCTGCAAATGCCATTTAGGAGTTCAAAGCAGTGTTAAAGAAGTAGGAAAAGACATTAGAAGTAGTCGGGGGCATAAAATATCCCTTGTAAAAACTGATACTCACTAGATACGAGGTGGGAAATGAACTATACAACTTGTGGGTGGGTGGGGGTACTGGAAGAAAATGAGGGAGAGGGGTGACATTGTTAAAAAAGAAATGTACTCATTACCTGACGTATGTAACGGTAACCCCTCTGTACGTCACCTTTACAATAAAATTTAAAATAAGAAAAATAAAGCTACGATAATTATTCCTATACAAAAATAAAACTTATTTATGGGAAAGATGTATATATAAGTGTATCCTTTGTACCTTGATACATTTTAGCATTACAAATTAAAGTTTTGCTCAAAAGTGAATTTTTCTTAAGACTACATTGTAGTGGTAACATCACTGTCATTTGTACTGATTATCCATGCGATTATCACTTGTGCAGTGTAATTCCATTCCTGAAAACTACTATCTTTTTAAGTGTTTTCATAACATCAATTATAACACAATTAAAAAATAAATTTTGTTTGAGGTTGATATTGAAGTTGGATGATGACATAGATAGGGTGGATTAATTTGAATTATTAAGGGAAGTTGTGGAAAATAAAGAGATGAGGAAGATGGAATTTAAAGAAAAGAATTACCACTGAAATTTTGTGCAGATGGATGAAGCTACATGTATTCATTCATGGATGAAAATGCTTAATATTAGAAAATAAGTCGGTAGCCACAGAATAAAGCTCTTAAAAGATACAACAGCCTTAGAGATGAAAATTTTTATCCAAGTTTCATCTTGTTGCTAGTTATGACTGGAGACATTTGATTCTTTAGCAGGTAGGAAGCTATGGAAAGAATCTTCTGATGTCATAATTTCTGGGTAGCACTGGAACATTTTATCATCATCCCTTTGGCAAGTCCAGCTTTCTATGGAAGGTCAGTAGAAGCAATTGATTTATTCATCTCTACAGGAATCAGACTCGGCCTATTTTGGTAAGTTCATGTTTCCTTGATCAAATTAACTGACTCAGTACCTCCACAATTAGATAAGCCATAGTTTATTCTGATGTTAAAAGATCATTTTTTGAGCAAAATGAATGTTTTGTTTTGAAAAATTAATTTGTTATCTGTAGTTATACTAGTCAATTCAACATGTCAATTTATGAGTAAAATGTATCATGATCAATACCTTCCATTCCAAAATCTTTTTTTTCTAGATGATTAATCTATCATCTAAATATCACGTTATTCAAATTGTTAAACCTTAATAATTTGGTTTTATTATTGCCACCAATAAACATTTATTTAGTAGGCATAGACTACTAAATATATGAGATAGTGTTGACATTTTTCATGTTTCATGCTGTTGGTCTATCTTGGACAATTATTCAAGGGAGAGTTATTAAATATCTACTGCATACTAAAAGCTCTTCTAGGCATTAAGGATTCAGTGGTGACAAAGACAGAAAGGAAGTGGTGGTGAAAACATTAGGCCAGTGTTTCTTACCAGGGGGAAATTTTGTTTTCTCTCCTAGTGGGGGATGTGTGGCACGTAGTAAGACGTTTTGCCCTGTCACAGCTATGGGAGAGGGCTACGATGATGGCATATAGTGTATGAACACTGTAGAACACGTTGTGCTGCACAGGACAGTTTACCCTTCTCTATGTTGGAGAAGGGTATTGTCCCACATGTCACTAGTGCCATGGATGAGAAACACTGAATTAGACTGATAATAATCATTATAAAACAGAAATAAAAGGTGCTATCAAATTAGATAATAAAATTTTTGAAAGGCTTCTCTAAGAAAGTGAAACACAAATTCATACTTAGTGTGTAATACACTATTTTGTACTTTTTCTAGATATCTTAAGGTGTTCTTTTTCAGAATGTTTGTGGATGCCTCTAATGTTAAAAGTTTCATGTCATTCTTTGAAGATAACCTCTTCGATTTTACATTTCAAATTTAGGTTTTCAGTGAATTATGCCTTTTCGGTTTGGGACCCAGCCAAGGAGATTTCCTGTGGAAGGAGGAGACTCTTCAATCGGGCTAGAATCGGGCCTGAGTTCCAGTGCTGCCTGTAATGGGAAGGAGACGTCGCCAAATAGGTGACAGTTCATTTCCTCCTGACAATTGAGGAGATATGTATTGGTTATCATTAGTATAAGCTTTAGCTGATATTCAGCCTTAGGCAATACACAAAAAGGCTCAGGAATTCCAATATTGCTGTTATAAAATTATTGTTTCCAAGGATCATTGTTATTTTTTAAAAACTGTAATGTGTATTTGTATCTCTGTAAGTCTGGACCAATTTGTTATCTCTGTTTTGGGGAGTAAATTTTTAGCTAGAAATATTTTTTGTTGTTGTTGATAGTTTCAAGATTGGACAACATTCAAGAAAATCTTTAGTGCTGTTTTATGAGTGTATTGTATTAGGCATAAGTCTACAAACATGAATAGCGAAGTATTTAAACCTCAGGTTTAGTATAATTTTGACTGACTGTATTTCTATCTGGAAGAGATTAATGCAGAGCATCAAGTACCTATTAAATCATTTTTGAAAAATTGAAAGAAAACTATAATAGGATTTATTTCACTTTTTCTGCCATTTATCGTAGCAAAACAGTAAATACTAGGCTTGTCTTGGCTTAGAGATTTTGAGACACAGATTTGAGCTTAATAAGGTAGTGGCTTGGAAATCAGAGTTATTCAAGAATAAAATAGTCTACTTAGGGAAGTAATGAGTTCCTTCTCTTTAGAAATGTCAGAACTTGGATGACTATTTGGTGGGAATGTGGAAAAGGAAAACCAGATGCTTGATGTATTTTTTTCTCCACAAATACTCTAATTTTAAAATCACCCAAAGTGACATTAAAGTGCCTATATGAACAAATTGACACAGTATTATCACTTATGTTTGTAACTATGTGTCTTTTTGCCTGTCAGCAATCACTGAATATCTTTCAGAATGAACATTTGGAAAATTACTTTTATATTTAGGAACTTCTTATAGTCCAATGTGTGGCAACAACCACAATTTCTTTAGTATATAAGTCTAGAAGGTCTGTTTCATCAGCGATTCTGTGTTATATGTATTTTGTGATATGCAAAGATTGCAGAGTGATTTTAAACAATTGAATATATACTGAAACTTCAGTGCTCTATCTGTCATTTGTTCCTCAGGCAACTCCGAAGATGCCCAGGAAGTCATTGCCTGACAATAACTGATGTCCCCATCACTGTCTATGCAACAATGCGGAAGCCACCTGCACAAAGCAGCAAGGAAATGCATCCGAAATAGTCATCTGTCATTAAGTCTTCGGTCAAGGGTTGACTAGGGTCAAGGGTAATGGCCAGTATGATCTGGTAAACAAATAAAGTGGCGGCACTGTTGGATGATGACAAAGTTGCACTGTTTAATTTTTTATGAAAAAACAGCCCAACAGAAATGTAGTTACATAATGAGAAGACAGAATGTTTCATAAGTAGAATGTATCTTAAAGTCATCTTGCCCACAGTAGATAATAAATAACCAAGAATTTGAGATGAAGCCCAGTTTATAAGGTTTGTCCTTCAGGTGTGGGACTTTTGATTTTTAAAATCATTTTTTAAAAAAATATTTGCTGTATAGAGGGGTTACATTTATGTGAGTAAGGTACATTTCTTGTTGAACATTGTTACCCACTCCATTGTTGGTCTCCCACTATCCCTTTGCTCTCCCCCCAATCCTCCCCCTCCCTGCCGAAAGTTGTAAAGTTCATTTCTGACATGGTGTCTTGTGAGTATCATTGTTGCAATGTGTCATCCTTTGTACTTCTTTCATCATTTTGTTATTTCCCTTCCCTTCCCCAAATCAGATAAATGTATATACAAGATGGAGGGTACCAGAATCAAAGACAGAGATTGCCAGGGTTAAACCAATTGAAAAAGAAAAGTGGAATAAGAAAGAACTAGATACCCTCAGTAGATGAATGGATCAAGAAAATGTGGTATATGGACACAATGGAATTTTATGCTTTTATCAGAAAGAATGAAATCGCCCCTTTTGTAAGAAAATGGAAAGACTTGGAAAAAATCATATTAAGTAAAGTAACTCAGACTCAAAGAAACATAGGCTCTATGGTTCCCTCATTTGTAATAATTAGTATATGCCTAAGCTGGTTTGGCAGAGAATCATAACTCAAGAGCTATGCACATATGACCGTACACAATGATGCTGATTGAAATGAACTCCAAGACATGAAAACAACAGGTCTCTTTTTTCAGATGTCAACCTTGATGTCACCAATGTACTGTATCTAGTTTTTTTTTAAAATTAAGTATTTTTAATTGTGAAAATACTGTACAAAGGGGTTACAGTTATGTGAGCAAGGTAATGAGTACATTTCTTATCCAGTATTGTTGCCTTCTTTGTTTTTCCCCTACCATCCCTTCCCTCCCACCTCCTCAGCTACACCTCCCTCCCTGCCCCTCCACTCCCCCGCCTAAATTGTAAAGTTGGTTTTTCAACATAGCGTCTTGTGCATCTCATTGTTGCAATGAGTCAATCTGTATCCCTATTTAAGCAATTTGTTTTTTCCCTTCCCATCCCCAAATTATACCAACAGCAAATACCATGAAAACGGGTTGTACAACCATGGGGGAGGGACATACAAAGCAACAAAAAAAATCACATGGTACCTGATAAATATGTTAGAAACAATAGCAAGGAAGAAAAAACCACTTGTGTCCCTATCTTGGGGTTCATTTCACTTATCATCTTATTTGAGCTTTTCTGCTTGTCCCAGACATACACTAGTTATTGCAAATAAGGGAAACTATAGGACCTATATAAGCCTGGCTTACTTCACTTAATATAATTTTTTCCAAGTCTTTCTATTTCCTAACAAATGGGGCAATGTCATTCTTTCTGATGGAGGCATAGAATTCCATTTTGTGTGTGTGTGTGTGTGTGTGTGTGTGTGTGTGT